CCCCCCCCGCCCCCGCCTCTCCCCACCATTAGTTCTCAAGGAACTAAGTGAAAGCAATGGGGACCTTCTCTCAGGGGGATGGGGTTCTGACTAATCACCACTTATCACCTGGAGCAGACCCAGGGAAACCAGATCGGGGGTGGGGATGTGTGTGCCCACCTGAGAGAGCTCAGCTTTCACCTCTGGCCAGCTGCCAGTGCCACCTCCCTGTCCTCATGCCTGCAGAGCCACTGACAGACCAGGCTTCAGGCTCCAGGCTGCTTTATCTCCCGCTGACACCTGTCTCCTCTCCCTCCTCCATATCTGGGAGTTTCCTCATGGCTCTAATGAAAAACCCTTGTGTCACATTGAAAAGTTGCCAGTTATTGCTGCAGGGAATAAAATCCAGCCTCTGCTGGGTGGAGACTCAGGAAAGCTTCTAGCTGGTGAGGGGTAGCCGGTTGGAATAATCCCTTCAATGTGAGCAGCCTCTCAAGCGTAATCAGAGGGTACCAGGTGGTGCCCCTCCCTGACAGCGAGAAAGCAAACAAACAGTAGGACGTGCCAGGCTCCCCACCACACCACACTGTGGCTTTCTCCCTTCTCTGGCCTCAGCACATCTGCACGGTGTCTGCGCACCTCGTGCTGATGGTTCAGGCTCTTTCCCCACACCCCAAAGAGAAGACAAAATTGATGTCCCTTCTGATGTGAGCTCTCAGTAATGGCTTCACCACATCCTCAGATGCCAGGTCAGACCACTTGAAGACAGTCCAAGATGCAGATTCCTCGGATCTACCCTGGACCACTGAATCTGAATCCCTAGGGCTGAGGCTTAGGAGTTTCCATATTTTAACTCCCCTCCCTCACCTGGACTACGGTCTGGAAACTAGGCCAGAGAAAGTGCTCCCCCCCACACGCTGCTACGCCTGCACATGCCAAGTGCCCTTCCAAGGCCAGATCTTAGCACTGCTGGCACGAGCCTCACGATATACCAGGGCAGCCATTTCTGTTCCTGTTTCACAGAGAAAGAGCTCGTGGTTCTTCACAGGTTGTGACACCAATAGAGTTGAGGTCATCGGCTATGTCACTTACAGACACTTTGTGGAAGCAAAGGAAACCACAGTGAGATCTAAAAAGCATTTTCAGAGCCTGGTAGTCTGGCCAGAAGCCCCACATTATGACAGTGGAGGTGGGTGTGAGGGGCTCTGCAGCCTACAGAGTTAGCTGAAGCTGCGACTCCAGAACAATTAGTATGTAAAGTGTAAGCCGAGCTCCAGCCATGGCCGCCTTCTGGAGCATTTGCATTAGAGAAAATAGCAATAATCAGTGATTATCAATGGGATGATTTTGCCCCCCACCCAGGGGACATTTGGCAGTCTGGAGACATTTTTGGTAGTCACAACTGTTGGTGGGGCAGAGGCTTTTGGTGTCTAGAGAGGAAAGGTCAGAGATGCAGCTAAATATCCATAGGACATCAAGCATACAAGAAACGATCTGGCCCAGAATATCAATAGTGTCACTACTGAGAAAACCTGGAGTAGATATGAGATGTCACCAAAGACATGAACCCCTATCCAGAGATGTCCTTAGCCTCCTGAAGGTAGAGTGTTAATTCAGGCTTTTGGTTTGTGGCTGGAGTTTTCGTAGCTTCTGTCTGTTGTTATTTATCTAGAAAGAAGATGTGGATCAACCCAGGGGCCAGCAGAGAAAGGCTTACAGGTTGATCACACAGCCTGTATGAGCTGGGCATTAGGACTCAGTTTATCTGATGTCCAATAAATACCAAGACCCAACTTAAGGCCTCGATTCCTCCAGAAATCAGTCATTGCTTTAACAGTAGCATATGGATGAATAAATGTTCAGTTCTGATTTGATTTATTTCATACAGATTCCCCAGGTGATCTCCCCTCGTCACTGAAGAGTTAAAAAATAGACCATTTAGTTAATAAAATTGAGTCTCCCACAAGTTAACGGCATGGAACCAGCTACTGGTGCAGATAGTAGCAAAAATGCTGCTGTGGGAGACAGGCTGGAGGGGCCAAATATTTTCTTTACAGCTGATTTGATCCAGTTCAGTGGTTGATGGTGTGTGGAGGTGGGACACCTCCTGATGATCCAGTCCCCTCCTGTTTACGTGGCCAGCACCTCAAAGAACACATATAATTTCTTTCCCCCTATAAAGTGAATCTGGGCATTTTACGGCTGAAAGGGGAGCAATTCCATTTGAGTTAATCAAGAGGCTGAAGGCAAAGATGCATTATGTGGCGTTTAAGGACATTCTTTCTTGATTGGCAAGGTCCCGTGGCCACCCCCTGAAAAGCATTAGCAACACAGCACTTCTTGACATCTCAAGGGAGGTCTGTTATCTTAGTTATCCTCACACGTAGCCTGTGGTTTTTCACACCCCAGTTTAAGGAGTAACTACGGTCTGACTCTGGGAGTTGAACACACTCGTTGACCGTAACCCTGTAGCATTTCTCCCCTGTTAAATTAGAAGAAAGCAGTCATACTACTGAGGGGAAACATACCTTTCGGCCACTTTGGACATTTTCAAACAATGTCTGTCAATCTGCACATTCAAAAATGTTATCTGAGGATAGAGAGAACAGGGGTGTTAAGACTAAAATAGAAATCTTTTCTTCCCTTCACCCTATGAGCCCAAATCCTATATTTCCACCAAGATCTAAACACCTCCTCTGCCGAGACATCTCTACCCTCCTAGTTTTGCACGCTAACAGCCAATTTACCCCTTTGGGCATTCCTACCACACTTACAATTCATGCTCTACGACTTAGCCTATGTCACATATTCTCCTGTACTGTGTTATAATTTAAGTCTCGATTCCCAAAACTTGCAGTATATAATCCACAACGCTTAGCAACAGTATGGACAGGTAACATGCGCACTGCGAATATCTATACTGACTGCGCCCCGGTGGCCTTTCCCCTGCCCACCGTTCACACGTATAGCACACCTGTGTGCCTGGTTAGCAGGACCTGAACCATGAAATAGCTACTTTACATACACCTGTTTCCTCTTCCCTACCCAATAATATGCTTGCCAAGGGCAGACACCTAAAAGTTAACTCTCCTTTGGGTTTTTCCCCTCCAGAAGCAGTAAGACATAATATTAATGGTAGGCCCTTACTTTGCCTCATTACCAGTAAACTTCAGAAGGGATGAAATTAATGAGATTAGCCATCATCTGATGACCTGGGCTCCTCATCATGAAGGAAAATACCATTCAACCAAATCATGCTACAGTGGCATTGGGAGTGGGGCTTTCTTTATTCTTAAACTTTCCTTTTGAATCACAGCAATGAGGTTAGTGGTGCTGAGCTGGTTTACTCTGGAAGCGCATGACAATTTTAAGGACCCTGGGATGCGAGTCCCTCCCCCCTCTGGCTCCCGCAGCGGTCTGTGGGAGACCCGAAGGCAGCAGTCACGCTGTGGCCCTGCAACAACTCCTTGACGTCCTTCTCTAATGACTGCTGGAGGAACTGGGGAGAAAATTCTTCCTCTCCAGCTTCCGAGGGTTGTTCACACACAGCATTCAAAGGCTCAAGTCCCCCACGGCTGGGTTCCACTGTGGTGTCCAGGAACTCAAAGCTCACTCAGCCATCAGAGATGAACATGAAAGGGCTTTTACACTGGCCACGTCTCCTCCTGGGAGTGCAGCAGTCACTTCAGTCACCTGTTTCCGGATGTCCTCTTTTGTAGTTTTCCTGATGGGTTGACTGGGTATGTGCACAGGGCTCTGCGACTGGGACTCTTCAGTCACTCCATATACTGACTAGAAGAGGCAAGAATATAGAGTCACCTACCCTCAGAGTTGCAGGTGGCCTACCGGTCAGCTAGTTCAACCACTCATCTGATTCTTTGAATCCCCTCTATGACATCCAGATGATAAGTCATCGACCCCTGCTTCTGGAAGCATCTCATCCCATCTGTTAGAAAATCCTTCCCTATGCTGGGCTTGTATATCAGTGTTTCTCCAAATATGGTCCATAGGCCATCAGTACCTGGTAAAGATATGCCTGTCCCAGACATACTGAATCAGAATCTCTGTGGCTGGGTGTGGGGATCCACACTTTTATCAAATGCCCCAGGTGATCCTGAGCCCAAAAAAAAAAGTTCAGGAACAACTGCTGAAGGTTACACACAAAAGGCCCTGTCTAGATTTTCTCTTGGTCAGCAGCTGGTGCACTCCTCTGGGACACAGTTAAGACTGCAGGGTTTCAGGTTTTCCCTATTAAGTTAAACAGTTTCCTGGCCTCGGTATCTCTCCATGTCTGTAGCTATGGCTACTTTTAAAGCTGTTCCTAGTGTTATGGACAGGCTAAAGACAATCTTTGCCTTGGGAAGGGAAAAAAAAAAATCCTGAAGGGTAAGTATTAGCTGAAATCTTTAAAATCAAGAAGGGCTCTGATAATGTGGATATAATTCCATGAAATTCTGCGATATTAGAATTAGGGGGGCCTTAAAGATTAAATGAGGAGGTTTTAAGACTAATATTTTAAAGTACAACACAGTCGACATTGTTATCTCAGTGAAGAACAAAGTAAAATATATAAGTAGATTCAATAAGTTTATATATATGTATATGTCATGTTTCTCTCATGTGTGTGTTCGTATCAGCAAGGGATAATTGGTCATTATAAGAAATAGGGATGTTTGGGGACACGTCTAACCTGTTGGGATAATGTGGAGTGCAGCCACGTGCTCCCACAATGTGGTCCGTGGTGCTGTGGTGAGGGTGGGTGTATGGATCGTGGGGCAGTCTGAGTGAGGCACCCCGGCTATGCCGTGACCTCTGCCACTCTCTCTATAGAGAAACACAAGTGATCGTTGGGGTCATTCACAGTTGGGCAAGATAACGATTCAAGTTTGGACATGCCAGCTCTACTAAAAGACTTCCATCTGCTTCTAAGTACCAAGCTCACTTTCACCTGTGGACTTTTCCACTTTTTGTTCCTTTAGTTTCCTTTCCTCTCTGCCACCTCCCCAGAGCCAGCTGCTCCTGACCCTTCAGCACACTTGGCCCTACTTCCAGGAAGCCCTTGGGAAGCCCCCCATCTGTCTTAGCTTCCCCTGCTGGGCGCTCCTGAACCATCCTGTACCTCACCTAACACAGCAAGGATGGTCCTGCTGCCTGTGGCTTGCTTCACTTCCTGCCAGACAGTGGGTTCCTGAGGACCTGCTGCTGTGTCTCAGCAGCAAGCACAGTGCCATGCACATGCCAGCCGCTCAGGAAGAGTGTAGAGTGAATGAATGAAATGGTCCCAAAGACAAGATGTGGTAGGATTACAACTAGTAAGATACCATTTGAACAGTAGCAGAATTGGAAGGGCTACGTGCATCAAGAACTTTTAATTCAGCTAAACTTGCGAACCTTTTTAACCTTTTGAGGATTCTTCAAACGCCGACATTTTCTGATATCCATTTCTGTTGTGTTCACGCAGCCTGGCTGAGAAAAACAACAACAACAACCACAACAGAAAACCCATCATGTATATTACTAAGTAAAAATTACTCTTCCAATTTAGCCCACGTAACACCATCAGAACCAATCTTTATCTTTCTCATTACGGATAAGGCACACTTTTTTGCCATTTTGCCATCATATGTGTCCCTCCATGGAGTTATTATATGGAATGTAAAAGTTTACCTTCTACTATCTAAGGATGATATGCAGAGGGTATAGTGTACAGTTTTGAAGAGCAAACCTATTATTCAAGCAGCAAGATTGCTTCAGCCGCAGCCTTGGTTATTTTCCATACCTAACCATCTGAAAAAGACTCCAGTATCAGGATGGGGAGCTGCTTTTTTATTTTTGCTTTTAATTAGTTTTTAGGAAGGCAGAAATAGCTAATTCATTTTTAGCTCCATTTCATGATGGAAATGCAACAGTTGTTTTAATAACATGAAATTAGAAATGCAGTCAAATCTTGCTAATGACAGATTTTGTATTCGTGAATTCGCCTACTTGCTAACATTTATATGTAAACCCCAAATTTGTACTTGTGGTGCTTGAACAACCCCTTGCAGACATGCACAGAGCAGCGGAAATGTTGTCACCTGATGTGCATGTTCCCAGCTGAGACTGAACAAGGTGACACTCTGTCTTCTTGTTTCGGGCCTCATACTGTACACCAGTCTACTCAGGGTTTATTTAGTGCCAAGTTTTCTGTATATTTGTGCTTTTAATTGGTGATTTTGCTGTTTAAAATGGCCCCAAGTGTAGCACTGAAGTGCTGTCTAGTGTTCCCAAGCACAAGAAGGCTGTGATGTGCCTTATGGAGAAAATTCACGTGTTAGGTAAGCTTCATTCAGGCATGAGCTATATAGTGCTGTAGGTCATGAATTCAATGTTAGTGAATCAACAGTATATATTAAATAAGGTGTCCTTACACAGAAACACACATTAGACAATATTTTGTATTAGTCGGTTGACAAAAATGTTGTGACTAGAGGCTCCCAGGCACCTAACCTTGTATTTCCCCCAGGAGCAATGTTTCAGTATTTACTAATTCAGTGTTGGCAAAGGCTTAATAGAACACAACTAGTCTGAATAAAAGAATTAACTGTATTTGAAAGAGAATATCTTAAGATTGAGAGTTAATTGACAGTGGAAATGGAAATTGTTAATTTGGGGGGTGTAAACTTCTGGGGCCCAAAGCTGCCTGGTGGAATTCCTATAGCCTCCCCCATTTCCAATTCCATATTTTCATAGATAGATAATTTTCAACAGGTGGAGCTGACATACATTCCAGAAAATCTACTGAGATTACATGAATGAATGGCAAAGCCAATTTTACAAAGCTGAGCAATTTTCTTAAGAATGAGACACCTGGTGGCTAAAGGCAGCCTTTTCTTTCAATAGAAAGAAACTGGAAAATTAAAAAAGAAAACCCTAGAGAACCAAGTAGAGCTTTCTCACCACTGGCCTGTGGACATCCCAAAAGGCCCGTTCTTGACTATCCAAAATTTTCCTTTCTGTCTTGTCCTTTTTCCGATCAATCCTGAAAGAGTAAAGAGAGGAAACAAGAGGCTTCTGTATCCTGTTTTTCCTCCTGACCCTTGCCCCAGCTCTCTGCTCCCTTTTCTAGGAGCTAAGTGCATGCTGGGCTATTGGTATCTGCCTGGTCCCCACTCTCTGCAGAGCTATGAACTACAGGTGTACAATTCTCTCCAGGAAGCTCAGAAATTCCACACGCGATAAGAGAACTTGTTTTAGGCTAGATTACAGATTGCTATGTATGTGCAATGAACATAGTGGGCCTAAGGGAAGAGCAAGAATGCAGCTGTCCATCTGAAGTACTGAGATTTGGATTATTAAGAACTGAATTATCCATTGACATGTGTCCCCCTGCATCAAAATGGGTACCGTGTACACAGATGATAAGAAGGCATGTAACCACAGGCACGCCAGTGTTCCATCTTCAAATTGGAAAGTTTGGATTCAGGGTCAGTAGAAATGTCTTTAAAATGCTGCAATTATGCGTTTTAAAAGTCACTTAAACCATCTGGCTTTCTAAAGGCAGAGTAATGGCCCTAGCATGTGACAAGATCCAGAAGGCAAACATCACAGGCCTCAGCTGGGGGAGGCACAGATTGCAAGAGGGAAATGACAGGTGACAAAGACAGATCCTTCATGTTCTGATCAGTGGCACAGACAAGAGGCTGTTTTTTGAAAAAAGCATGCATTGCTTCATATTATCTTTCGGAGTAGAAAGCAACTCATACTAAATGCCATGTAACTTCTGGTTCTCGGCTCTCTTGGGAACACTTTATTTTACTGGACTGAAATAAATCCATAATCACCCCACAATTTTTGTGATAATTACTGTGTACTTAAATGGCCCACGATTACAATGTAATTGCAGAATTAATCAAAAAAGTTAATTGACAAATGCCATATATGTACAAAGTGACAATCCCCCTCCCCCTTTTTTTCTGTTTGATTCTGGAAGAACAAATTAGCGCTCCTCTTTGCTTCCCAGTGGCTTCTGAGTACACGGGCATGATGCTACCTCAGTCCAATCAAATCCCAGCCTCCTTCTCACCTGCTATCCACCTGCCCACCTTCCACTTCCTCAGGTGCCTCCTGCTGCAGCTCAGCACCCAGTGCCTAGTGCCCATCTCCCTCGGGGGCTGCTGGGAGCACTGGGGTGGTCCACAGGTGGCTGGCAACACGGGCAGGGGAAAGACTGCACAGGGAGGGCAAGTGCAAGGGCAGCGTGCAGACTGCTAGACCAGGTGACCTCAGGTCATCTCCAGCTGTGACCATAGCTGCGATCGATCCTTACCCACCCAGCCTGAGACCCGGCTCTAGGTGATGGGCCACAATGCTGACACGGAGTGTGAAAGGTCTGCTCCAAGACCCACGGGCACTGCTCACATGCAGGCGGTGCCTGGAGAAAAGGTACACACATTCTCCCAGCTCAGCACACCTTCCCCACCTCTGCTCTGTCTCACCTCTGTGAACACTCCTGCCTAAACCAGACACCATGGCTGGAAAGGGCAAGGGCGGTCCTGACCTGAGCAATTCTGTTTCGCAGAATTAAACGGAGCTGGTTGACAGCTGTGTTCATGGGCTGGGGGCATTTTTTCCCCACTCCTCATATTTCCTTAGAGAGGAAGGAATTTCCACTTTATTTCTGGGAGGGAAGAATATGGGAAAAACCTTTCCAACTTTTTCCCTACTTTCATCTCTTGTCCTTTGGGAAGGAAGAATGACATCACTTATTGGTAGATTTGGAAGGAGAAATTGAGAAATTGCAGGCTGGTTCTTTCTGGGCCCCGTCTGGGTCAGCCCGTCCTCAGGATACCTGTTCTCTGCATGCAGTAAACTTACAGGGTCAGCTCTGTCCTGGTGGGGGTGGCCTACAGATACCCACCCCTGGCCAGGAAGGACAAGAGAGAGAGGAGAGGCTACTTGTGATCCTCCCTAAAATCCCAACATATTTTCCTTTGACGATGTCATCTCCAGTCTTCCAGGTTAAGTGGGTCTGATGATCTTCAGCCTCTGAGCACAGAAGAATAATCAGAAATCTCCTGGGGAGATTTTGAAATTATTTTAGAGTGACATTGGTTACAAACATGAAACTTATCCATCCTGACCTTCCTTTCTATTCAGTTGCTCTCAGGAGAGATTAGAGAGCCTAACACCAGCTGGAAACCTCTCTTTGGCAATCCCACTCTCACACCACCTCCAAATTCCAGAGTCTTTTTCTCTTTGAAAGGGTCTCTGTTAAGTTCACCTACTTTACTTGTGCTTCTGCTTGCATGAAGATGAATTCCCACTTTCTGGCAAAGGCCCTCTGGAGTCTTGCTAAGTTTTCCTAGAGAAAAATGAAAATCAACAAGAAGACATTCATCATCATAAATCAGCACATTGACACCTACGCTCATTACAAATCCATCCATTTTGGTTACTCCCAACAAAACAGCAGGACCCACTTTAAATTGACTGGGCATGTACCCAGTTTGACTTTGCACCAGACCCTCTGTACAGAACTGAACTATTTTTTTTTTTAATTTTTATTTTGTCAATATACAATGTAGTTGGTTATTATAGCCCACAGAGCTGAACTATTAATATTCATTTATGCATCCAAAAGTCTGCAGTCTCTATGGGTCACCTGGTTCCTCTCTTCCTGTGTTTTACAAGAACACAACTCACGCAGCACGTGTTATGAAGGCCCCTGAAAACAGAGACAATGGTTTGTGTCTGGGGAAGGAACGATGCACTCTTTGCACCCTGTTGGATATCTCTGAGAGCAAAACCACGGGTGGATTTCTCAGGACTCGTCTTCCAATAGGGAGCTGGGAAGGTCACAGGAAAGTAGAACCAGGAGCACCTGGCATTGGTGCTTTGTAAGGTAAGGATTCAAAAGTGGACCAAAGAGAGAGTCTATGTGGTGATGTTCATGAAAGGAAACCCAAAACAGAAAGAAATAAAAGTCACGGATGGTCACCTTTAGAGGAAAAGGGGAGAAATATTTTCTCTAAGTCCGTAGACTTACCTAGTGGAGCATCAGGGCATTGAGAAGGGGAGTTTGACAGGTTCCCTAATGATCCTCCTAATTCTGATGAATGCGAGGCTGGGGCCCACATTGAGCTATGTGTTTTCATAGAGCTCATGCCAACACTAACTGATTACCCTCATTAGTGGATTGTTAATATAAAAGGAACTTCAAGGGAAGACCACCACACACGAAGTCACAGTTATTACGAAGGCTTGCTGTGCAAGTNGAGCTCATGCCAACACTAACTGATTACCCTCATTAGTGGATTGTTAATATAAAAGGAACTTCAAGGGAAGACCACCACACACGAAGTCACAGTTATTACGAAGGCTTGCTGTGCAAGTACTTCTAAAAACCATCCCATTGACTCTTCTCCTGATCATAAAAGCAAAGTTGGTAATGCCTAAATGTCAGTCAATTGGGAAGTAGTGACATAAATTATGACATGGTCATACCATGGATTACTAGGCAGCCATTAAAAACGGTAATGCAGATTATTACTACTGACATGGAAATATTCCCAAGATACCTACAGCATATGATTGACTAAAGAAGCAGCTTACACAATAATGTTTATGAACTCATTCTATTTTTTTTTTAAATGTATGTATAGAGAAAACTTGGGGGATCATTAGGTTCTTTTCTTTCCTTTCTTTGCTGTTTGAATTTTTAAAAAATAGTATATGTAACTGGAAAAATTTAATAAAATTACTGCATTTTGGAAACAAGATAGTTTTTAGTTTCAAACCATTTTTATGCTGAACTTCAACCTGAAAGAACATCTTAATGCCATGTTCTTTACCAATACCAGACCAGAATGTAATAGGGCAAGAGAAGAGAAAACTGAATAAATATATCAGCAGTTAATGCTGCCTTATTTCTGCGTCGGGCTTTTTCTTTTTCTTTTTTTTTTTTTGTCTTTTTCCATGTCCGGCAACGGATCGCAACCCTCAGTGTCGCCCCCGTACCGGACCGGGACCGGCAACGGGATCGCAACCCTCGGTGTTGCCCCCGCGCCTCGCTCAGCCAGTGAGCGGGAACCGGTCCGTATGTGGGATCCGAACCCTCGGCGGGAGTGCCGCCGCGCTTCCCAAGTGGTGCACTAGCGCAGTGCGCCACCAGGCTGGCCCGCGTCGGGCTTTTTCCAAAACATGGATATGGGGAAGAGAAGCACAGGATAGAGGGGCCACGTGATTTTTGCAGTGTGGGTCTTTCCTAAAGGTCATGTAAGGGAAGTGATGTAGTCATGTTGAAACTCTGCACTGGGTGCACAAAGAGTGAAACAGCAGTCTTCTGAAAGAGGGGTGATGTCAATTCTGTGCATCAGGACAGGCAGGACTGGGCTCCCGGGATGCTGAGAGCCACAGGACAACCATGCTGGGGTTTGCTTGGGAAAATCATAATGTTCCAGCCAACATGTGATCTGATATGTAAACTTTAGCCAGGTCCTGAGGCTCTGGACAAACTTCTGCACTGTACATCCTTCTCTGCTGGTTCTGCCCATTCACAGGTCTATGATGCTGGGATCAGAGAGGGTAGAGGGCCATGCTCAGGATCTGCTCTCCAATGGCATGCATATTTGCACTTGGGCAGCAGAGAGGGGAGCGATGGTCTAGTGGGCTTGGTAGAGTTAGTATAGGAACCCAAGAGAGGCAAGGCCTGGCAGAATGGGGCCTCAAGCTTGTTTTGGAAAATTGAGAAAGTGAGAGCAGGAGGGGCATTTGGAAGGTGGTGGGTCTGAAGATGTTAAGGGATTCTCCACTGCCCACACTATCTTTCTCTAAAGCTGCCACCTTTCAGTCATTCTGGCCCAGCAGCACCCTCCCTAGGGAGTGTGTAGGGAGAGGGAGTGGAAGGTATGTGAAAATTTAGCCAATTTCCCTGATTCTCTGTGACCCATATAACGTTTAGCTTGGGGAAAGATTCTGCAACCAAAGTTAGAAATATATTTTAAATTATCTGTGAGTCTTTGAGTTGTCTTGCTTTGGTTTCTGGGCTCTGTGAAATGGGAATGGATATGAGCATGGAGTTAGGGCCTCTGATTTTTGCAAGGAATCACATCTTATGAAGGAAGATGGAGGAGGAAGGTCAGAAACCTGGGGAAGCAGATACCTCTTGTGACCTACATCTTGTCTTTATTATCTGGATTGAATTTTGTCCTTAGATTTTTGCCTCTACTATCAAGCATAGGAGTATGGGTATAAAAATGCAATTTTTAATTTCAATTTTAAAAATTATTGTATTGTAAATTTGACTTTTTTCCTTTTGGTACAGTCCTGTGAATTTTAACACATGTGTACATTCATATAACTGCCACCACAATCAGGATACAAAATAGTTCCATCGCCTTCCAAAAACCTCTTGTGCTATCTCTTTATAGTCGCATCCTACCCCATTCATAACCCCTGGCAATCACTGATATGTTTTCCTCGTGACGGTTTTGTCTTTTCAAGAATGTCATATAAGTGGAACGGCTAGCCTAAGAATGGTGCTGTTCACTCAACATGTCCTCGACACTCATTCAAGTGGTTGAGAGTATCAATAGTTTGTTCCTTTTTACTGTAGAATAATATTCCATTGTATGGATGCACCATGGTTTAACCAGTCACCTTAAAGTGCATTTAAGTTGCTTTCAAAAGCTGATTATCACAGATAAAGCTGGTTATTATTAGTCCTCACTGTCAGCTTAACATAAGAATATCTGCTACTCCCTCACTCTGCCCCCTGTCCCCTCCCTTTCCCTCAAGGCCAGTATGTTCTGATAAGGACACATATTTGTGCTACAACTCACCCTGTCCCCCTACCTCCTCCCTTTCTCTCAGGCTGCTGCATTCTGAAAAACATCTCGTATGAAACAAACAAACAAAAACCCCCCAAACTGCAAAGCCCTTACAGAATGCTGAATGCTCAGAATAGCTGCCCAAACCTCTCCCAGACAAACCCTATAAAGCCTCTGCTAGTCTGTAAGAGGGCGTAACACTGATCTTTCAGTTTCTCCTCCAGGTTTGCTGGAGTAAACTCCCTTCCTTGATAAACGTTTGGCTTGGAGTCTTTTATTCTGTTTGTCTTGCCAACCTAACGGTTATCACAGATAAAGCTGGTATAGACAATAGTGTACAGGTATTTGCATGAACATAAGCTCTGATGTCTGTAGGGTATGTACAAGGGTACTTCAAAAAGTTCACGGAAAAATAGAATTAAAAGATAATACTAATATTTCCATGAACTTTTTGAAGACCCCTCATGTGCAGGAGTGAGGGTGCTTGGCTATATGGTAAATGTATGTTTCACTTTATAAGAAGCTGCCACACCACTTTCCAGAATGGCTGTACTATATTGCATTCCCACCCGCAGTGTAAAAAGAGTTCTAGTTGTTTCACATGCTCACCATCATTTGGTATTGTCAGTACTTTTCATTTTGGCCGTTCTAATAGGCGTGCAGTGGCGTCTCATCATAGACTTAATCTGCATTTCCCAACTGGCTAGTGATGTTGAACATCTTTTCATGTGCTTATTTATCATCTTTTTGTCCTCTTTGGTGAAATATCTGTTCGAGTCCTTTGCCTACTTTTAAGTTGAATTTTTTTTAATTGAGTCTTGAGAGTTCTTTGTACAAAGATACAGCTTTATTGTGAGGGTAAGCAGAGCTGAGAAGAAAGAAGGGGAAATAGAATGGACTTCCCTTCCACTGTCTGAAAAGGACTAGGGGGAAAAGGAAAAATACAAGCTGAAGCAGAGCTGCAGACATGATTTTACTCTTCCCCCGCATAGCCTGGAAGATAGTCATACTTACTGCTTCGTAATCTGCCAATTCCAGCCTCGCCTTATTCTGCATCGTCCTCTTACAGAGATAGATGGCTGAGGGAAGAAGAGAAATTACATGCACAAAACCAGCAGTGCAGTGGAATCATAAGTCAACCCACCCATCCATCCATCCGTCCATCCCTATGTGCCCAGCACTGTCCTGTGAAGAACAGAAATATGTTTTCTATGTGGAAGTCATGGCACCTGCCGTCCATGTCAGGATCAGATGAGGACCCATCTTCCAACCTGCCAACTTCCCTTCACCCTCTTCACTCTGCTTCCAAACATCCTCCACTCGGAGTCATCTTCCTCAAATAGAACCCTGTGACTCTCCGACCTAAAAGCTCTGCATTGAATCTTCAGTGGCCCCAGAAGTAGGTCGGGCTCCTTAGGGTGGTGGCAAATATGGTCCAGCCTCTGCTTATCTCAGAACTCTTCCCCTCCCTCACTAAGGCATTGCAAGGCCACCGAACTACTTTCAGCTTCACTCCTCTGCTTATGTGTCCTGTGCATGGAAGGTCTTTCTCTCTGTCTATCTGGTGACCCCTAACTAATCTCTGAAGACCCAGCTCAGTGTCCCAGATAGCACCAATACACCTTCAAACATAAAACCTAATTGCACTGCACTGACATCCTGGGGTGGTCCCCTGCTCTAGGCTAAAGTTTCTCTAAGGGCAGAGGCAATGTCCTACTCAGTTTAATCCCTGTCCCTAGCACCAGGGTCTGTCCTGCCAGGTGGAGTGAGAGAGCAGTGGAAAGGCAGGACAATTCATGTCTCTCAGTCCAGGCTAAGGAAGGGTTCCTGGCCCTCCATGGCCAGGCCATTCTCCCTCAAACGTGGCCTTTGTCACCTCCCCACCCTACCTGTGTTTCTTCAGTGTCTTCCTCCCTCCCTAGTGCCAAGTGGAATGACCCACGGACAACAGTGGATGCATTATATGAATGGACAATAGAAGGATCCAGAGAGAAGGTCACAGAGGACCCACGATTGTCTTGTTACTTGACAACTTAACTAGACTAAGAAATCTCTGGTCAACTCCTTGCTGGATTAACCAACTTCCTCCATTTGCTCTAAAAAAATGTACTGACAGCAGGTAGCTGGTGATATTCCGGAACCTTGCAGCTCGTGGTCTGCTCTCTGGTACGCCACGCTGCTGCTCTCGCCAGTGGAAGTGTGTGCTCACAGCGCCAGTTGTGGTTGTTCCTAAATCTGCTACTGTCAGGCTCATCTGCTATTATAATAACGTCAGTTCACTAAATATTACACATACCAATGAAGTGTGAAAAGAGAAGAGGTTGTTGTTTGCATAAAGATTCAGTTGGATGGTTTGGAACAACCTAATAAAGGAGAGTCAACTAAGACAATTGCTGGTGAATCCGGTACAGGTAAGAAAACTGGAAAAAAATTGTAAAAAGTAATAAAAATCTAGGAGAGGCAATTAGAGACACCAAAACTTGATGGTTTATTTTGAGTGTGATTTATTTAAGAAAGAAACTCAAATTATTGGGACCCATAATCAAAAAGAAGTCTTTGATCCTGTCTCAAAAGGTTGTCAAATGAATGTTCCTTTGCATATTTTACATTTGTATGAAGTGCTTAAGGTATACATATATCATTTTAAAAAATGGTTTTCTATTCACCAACTTTTCCAGTGAACCAGGCAGGTACAGCTCTTCCCTGCGTCTGATCGAGGGGAGTCTGCTCTACTACAAAGTACCTCCTTCAGTCTCTCGGGCCACAGGCAGCCTGTGGAATTGGGGGCCACCTCAAGCAGGAAGCTTGGCATGTCACCAGTCCCACTAGGCCTGGTCTTGATGACCTGCAAGCAGTGCCAGACAGTGGAGGTGGCGGCTGCTTTGATGATGCTGCCCCAGAGAGTGTTTCACATGGGCCAAATGTAAAACTCAGAAAAGGCTAACCTAGATTTGGACTATGAGTTGTGTTTTGTTTTGTTTTTTTGGCAGCTGGCCAGTACAGGGATCTGAACCCATGACCTTGGTGTTAGCAGCACCACGCTCTCCCAAGTGAGCTAACCAGCTAGCCCCATGACTATGAGTTTCATGTAAGCAGAGTTATCCCAAGAAATTTCTATCTGGGTCCAAATGGGCCAGGTAGGTTGTGAAGTAAAGTACTGAGCATGGAATGTAGCAGTGCCACTCCTGATGACCTCGAGCCTACTTCCTATGGCTAATGTCACACATGAGGGAGTCTCAACAGCCAGTCCTACAAGAGGGCACCGGAGACTTGTTTGAACCTCAGATGTTGGTTTCTCTTGGATATTTAATTCTTACTATTTAAATCTTTGTCTCCTTGCCTCACACTTGGCTTTCCAGCCGCACCTGTGTCTCCCTTGATGAACTCCCTGACATCTCAAGCTCACCACATTTATATGGCAATGGGTACCACATCTGCAATTAACATTTAAAAAAATAGTAAACTGATCCTATTTCAATGTATTTAAAAAACAGACTCCCTTTCCAAATTTTGTCTTTACTAGTGACATGACTACTTCAGTCTCCTAAACTAGGGAACATATAAATCACTTATTTCTCTATTTTCCTCACACTCTCTATGGTAATTCCCCCTTAGCCATGGTTTTGCTTTCTGCAGTTTCAGTTACCATGGTCAACCATGGTCCAAGAAAATGAAATGGAAAATTCCAGAAATAATTCATAAGTTTTAAATTGCATGCCATTTGAGTAGTGTGATGAAATCTTCCACCATCCTGCTCCATCCTGCCTGGGACATGATCATGCCTTTGTCCAGCTTCTCCACGCTGTCTGTGCTACCCACCCGGTAGTCACTTAGTAGTGCCTGGGTTATCAGATCCGCTGTCACAGTATCACAGTGCTTGTGTTGAAGTGACCTGTACTGTACTTCATAATGGCCCCGAAGTACAGGAGTAGTGATGCTGGAATATTGTTATAATTGTTCTATTTTATTATAAATTGCTATTATTGTTAATCTCTTGCTGTGCCTAATTTATAAACTAAACTTACTATAGGTGTGTGTGTGTATTACATATAGGAAAAAACATTGTGTATATAGGGGTCAGTACTATCCATGCATCCACTGGGGTCTTGGAATGCATTCCCCAAGGATAAGGAGGCACTACTGTAATTACATTTTAGAACAAGAGAATTTTAGCTTTGGGAGTAACCTCAGCAACCATCAAGTACAGACCCCTATTTACAGACAGGAAAACTAAAGGCCCAGAGAAATGAATTGACTTACCCGAGGGCTAGTCAGTAATAGAGTTGGAATTAGAATGGAGGTCTAGTTCAGAGTTTCTGCTGTGACATTCACTGACCCATTTACTTATTCATTTAATCACTCACTCATTTAATTTATGGAGGGCCTCCGATGTGCCAAGCACTGTTTTAGGTGCTGCGGAAATCACCATAGTAGCAGTTACTGCTTATACTGAACTCAATGAATGTCAGGCACTGTTCTAGGGACTTTCCTAATGCTCATTTACTTAATCCTCGTAACAACCCTACAAGGTGGGTGCTGATATTGACCCCCTCTTACAGATGAGAGAATTTTTTTCAAGTCATTCTTTATTATTGGGGACCCACAATGGCTCTCCAAACTGCTGAATCCATTCTACGTGTCTTTCTTTGAACAAGGTGGGTGCTGATATTGACCCCCTCTTACAGATGAGAGAATTTTTTTCAAGTCATTCTTTATTATTGGGGACCCACAATGGCTCTCCAAACTGCTGAATCCATTCTACGTGTCTTTCTTTGACTACCAACGCCTTTTTATAAACCTGCTCTTCCTGACCTATTTGACTTTCTCTGTCACTCTTCATCAACATATAACCTGTGACTACTCAAACCAGATCCTCATCCTGCCCTTTTGCCCTTATGATGCATGCCATCTCCCCAGCCTGGAATGCTCGGCGGGCAAGACTGACTTATCCAGATCTGTGACATAAAAATTCCACACAGTAGGTGATCAGTAAATGTTCACTGAATGAATGAAAGTTTCTGGTTCTTCATCAATCGAAATCAGACCTATTCTGAATTCTTAGCTTCAGTTTCACATCCTTTCTGGTGAGAGGGCCACCACAGTAGTAATGACACCAACCATGACCCCAATAGTAATAAAATAACCACCATAGTGAAGAGTATTGATGCCTTACTACATGCCACGCCCTGAACCTTACATGCATTTCATTTAATTCTAACAAAACAACACTGGAGACAGATACTGTTATTACTCTGATTTTCATATGAGGTTTCTGAGGCTCAGAGAGGTTAAGTAACTTGCTGAGATCACACAGCTAGTGAAGGCAGTTGATTTGAGGGCCTGCTATGCTGGATTCTCTTCTAGTAAATACCTACTGATTTTCTGATTGAACTGCTTTGGAAATACTTGACTTCTCCCTCTGATTTGCCATAATTTAAGGCACAGGAATTAAAAATAATTTTGCTTTAATGAGAGCCTGACACAAACTGTCATTTCTCTCCTTGCTCATGATGTACAACTAAAATTATGAAATGGAGAAAACCTGTAGAGGCAAGGAAACAATGTCCTTATATAAAATATTTTAATCTGACTTGGGCCAAGGTATCTGGTCTTACCATGCTCCCACCCTCTCCATTTGCCTGAAAAGATACTGCTCTTCACATTCACAAGGGCACACGGCTTCTGCATGGAACTGAGCTATAATTATTCAAATTCCCAGCTGGGCTTTCGTGAGCAGTCCTTCAGCCCCAGAAGTGCTTGTTCTATGAGTGAGCGGCCAAATGCAGCTCCCGTCTGAGCTGGAGGCCTAGCTGGAGCCACTTATTGCATCATTTCGGGCATAGCATGGCTTTCAGAGGGCTCATGGTGGTGCCTGTGACAGCTGGGCAGACAGTTGAGGGCCCTGGCCTTCTGCATGAGGGTCATCCTCCGGACTTGGAAACAGAGCAGCCATAGCCCTGTCAGGCAATGACTCACTGGCCTTCCATCCCTAGGACTGCTCCTAATTGCTGGTCTCCTCCCTCAAATGTGTGATGCAGAGGTCTCTGGATGTCTTGCCTGAGCATCACCCAGCTGCACT